ATTTATAAACTGTGCCTTATTTCTTCCAGAGCTGCTGCCACTACCACCACCTGGGCCTAAAAGATTCTCCAGTTTTCTCCATACGCCTTTGAACTTTTATAAGGAGTTATCACTCCACACTTCCAGCCAGTTAATTAGGGCCACCTCCCCCGGGATATTGGGTCCTGTTCCTGCTTTTTCTTATCCTAATTAAACCACCCAAGAGTCAGAATTTGTATTCAAATCATCTCTGCTTGTTTTTGGAGCACCATTTCTGTTCTTCCCTCATCCCCATCCTTGGCAGCAAGGTACTCAAAGGCCCAGTCCTTGGTTTATGCCTAGTATATCTCATTTTATCTCAGTTCTGTCTTTATAGAGCTACTGAAAACTAGAATCATTAGAGGTGAGACTCTATAATCTGCATTTTTAATATGAACCCCTGGTGATTATCCTGTATATTAATATTTGAGAATCACTGTACTGGTGAGAACTCTTATCATCCTCACTAAGGGGAAAATGCCTTATTCTGACTAATCCTATATTCTGTATAGTGGAATAGGCCAAGAAAGGATTTGACTATCTTCATACATACCATCCAGCTTTATGTTCAGGGGCCTGAAACCAGCTTGTGGCTCTCCATGCTCAGGCCTGTGAGGCTAGAGGCTGAAGTTTAGTGTTGTAGTGAAAAACAGACTTTGAAGAGAGACCAGCATATAGATACTGGTTCATATACTTTCCATCTGTTATATCACTTACCTGTATAAGCTTTAGTTTTTCCTTTTAAAATTAGAATAATAATACTACCTTATAGAGTTATAAGAGTTCATTGGAATTTACTTACCAAATAATCATTGAGCACCTATTGTGTGCCAAGTACTGTTCTATATGTTGCAAATAAACCAGCAAACAAAACGGGTTATACCCTCAAGGAGAGTATGTTGTAGTGAGGATAGGTATAAAAAGTGCTTAGACTTTGGCGTGTAGGAAGCACTAAAAATATGGCTCTTACTAACAAATATTTAAGGATAAGGAGTATATTTGTTCTGCTTTGCACTTTAGGGATACAAAAGAAGTACAGGATATATTATTTGCCCACCTGGAGCTTAAATCTGGATGGTCAGTGAGACATGTATTTGTTTATTCTATAAATATTAACTCAGTGCTGTAATGAGCAAGGCACTGTGAGGTACAAAACTGAACACTTACTCTTTAAAAATTTCAGTTTTGGGAATGTATGAGAAATGCACAATTCTGATGTAGAACAAAATGCAACAGATCTTTAAGAAAAGTAATAATAAAGTGCTAAGAGTATTACTCCTTTTATATGTATTTGAGCATAGAATGGACACACTTTTGACAGGTGGCAATGGGTTATATGGCTAATTTAGTGAGGGGGTAAAAGAGCCTCCCCTGCCAAGTGAACTAAGCAGTACATGAAGCATACCAGTGTCGGCTTTTCTGTATGCTTATTTTATGGTTTCCATTGCTCATTGCAGCCCTGACTCTAGAGCTGAGGCAATACTGACAATAAGAAGTATCATTTGTTTGGCCGAAGAACGAGTTGCAGGAGAGGGAGAGAAATAAAGGAAAAAGCAGAAGTAAAGTCATAAGGAAATGTGGTTGATTTCTGAGAACACTAAGTTTCTAGCTGAAACATAGTATAAATATAAGGTAGACAAAGCCAGAAATGAAAGATAAGGCCTGAGCCTGGAAAGCCTTGAATGCCAAGCTAAGGCATTTGGACTTAATATAATGAAAATGGTGCATCACTGAAGACTTCTGAGTGGGGAAGTGATATAATCAAAACTGTGTCGGGGCGGTGCAACCGCAGCTGGAGGGCAGAGGAGGTGGCGCGCGCGTCCTGTCCTCGCCATGAGGCCGCAGCAGGCGCCGGTGTCTGGGAAGGTATTCATTCAGCGAGACTACAGCAGTGGCACACGGTGCCAGTTCCAGACCAAGTTCCCCATGGAGCTGGAGAACTGGATTGATAGACAGCAGTTTGAAGAAACAGTTCGAACTCTAAATAACCTTTATGCAGAAGCAGAGAAGCTTGGGGGCCAATCCTATCTTGAAGGCTGTTTGGCTTGTTTAACAGCATACATCATCTTCTTACGCACGGAAACTCATTATGAGAAGGTTCTGAAGGAAGTGTCCAAATACATTCAAGAGCAGAATGAGAAGATATATGCTCCCCAAGGCCGCCTCCTGACAGATCCCATTGAGAGAGGACTCCGAGTTATTGAAATCACTATTTATGAAGACAGAGGCATGAGTAGTGGAAGATAAACCATAGAATTAAAGATCCCACCTCCAGCTGGGACCCTCATCTATCCACTGGCCGATCAGAGTGTCCCCTACCTCCTCTCCAGAGCATCATTCCTTTGTATCTGCTGCCAGAGCCACGGTGCCATTTACTTCAAAGACTTTCTAAACTTCCACACCTGGAGTGACCTCTAGTTGCTCAGCATCCACTTTGTTTCTCCAAATTGTGTAGGGCTCTGTAATCTTTTGATTAGTTTCTGAGAAAACACAATGACGCATTTCACTTTTTTTATTCAAAGCCATTAATAAAATAGGCCATTGGTTAGCCCAACACAAAGTTTCTTTCTTATCTGCCACCAGGACCAGTGGTTCCCTTCATTCCTTGGGCCAGCTTCCCAGGTGGCTCTCGACTTCCAAGTGATATCTCAGCCTGTGTTCAGTCTTATCTCCCCCAAATTCATAAAATGCTTTTCTCCAGGATTTTGGTGAAAGGTAGGCTGTGTCTGTGGTTTTGCTAATGCATCTCCCAGATTTTGAAGAACTACCAGTTTTGCCATGACTAAAATCTTAAAAATCTGTTTCTGTTCAGTTTCTCAAACTGAAACTCATTGGAAAAATAATGTATAATGTTATTTGTTTTATGATAGCAATTATTCCTAATTAAAGCAGTATTTAATGCAATTTCCAGTTATTTTTCTTTGGAGAATTTTGTTATTATTTCATTACCTTGAATGTTGGGAAGATGTAGTATGTGTTGCGTGTTCCTTACAAAAATAAGTAAGCATAATAAAGTGGATGCTAAACCATCAAACACATAAATGTCCCTGCTGTGTCCCTGAATGTGTAATAAGCAAGTATAATAAATATTTTAATTATAGTTTTGTTATAAATATAACTTATGAGAAAAAAATTTGATAGGAATAATACTGTATATTGCTAATTTTTGACTGACCCTACTGGCAAATCTTATAATTCATAGACTTTCCTCATATACAGTATTCAGTGCACAGAAGTCTTATGATTGGTTCAAGTACAGTAAGTTCAATGATTTCCAACTAAAACTTTCAAGGCTGAGTCAGTGTTTCTAGTTCTTTTGGCTGTATGTTCTTAGTATCTGGGTTTCTTATGCCCTTCCTTCATCTTTGGGGTTTGAGAGCACTATTTTTGGGAGAAAGTTCAGAAATACATTAGGAAAAAATGAAACTGTTAAAAGTTTTACTTTCAGAGATACTGTAGGTGCTAATACTGGATTTAATCTTTCAGATTTAGTTTCTTTTATGGATCTGTTATTCAGTAAATCTCATTGGTCTGTGTAATATTTTAATTGTATAAAATTCCTTTGTTACTTTAGAGCCTGTAATAGTGTGTCTGTCTGCCTTTTAAACCTGTTGCAATAACTTTGCTGAAATAAGAACACATTAGTAAAACTTTTCTTAAACAACAACAACAAAAAAACTGTGTCTAGTGGCGCCTGGGTGGCTTAGTCGTTAAATGTCTGCCTTCGGCTCGGGTCATGATCCCAGGGTCCTGGGGTCGAGCCCCGCATCGGGCTCCCTGCGCAGCGGGAAGCCTGCTCCTCCCTCTCCCACTCCCCCAGCTTGTGTTCCCTCTCTTGCCGTCTCTCTCTGTCAAATAAATAAATAAAATCTTAAAAAAAAAAAGAGCTGGATCTAGAATAATACATTCGAAGAAAAGTAGCATATAGTAACCATAAACTGGACAGTCATATGTATTAATTAGTACTTGTAGAATAACTGAATGTGTGAACCGTTTTGATTTTATGGACAATAAGATGCACTAAAAAAGCTTAGCAAAAGAACAGCTTTTCTGGGTAGACCTGGATTTCATTTAAACAGGACTTTGATACGGGAAGACAAGAGAAAAAGTAGATTGATTAAACATGACATGAATTTATAATCTATTGCATGACCACACCTGTAGAGCATTTGACTTTATAGCCTTTTATCACTTGGAGGCAGGTTTCTAAAAACCTAACACAGGACTCTGTCTTTGAGAAAGTGAGAGAAGATTCAGTTTTCATTCCATAAATATTCCCTAGGTGCCTGTCACATTACCAGCACTATGCTGTGGGTAATTCAGCTGTGAGCAAGCAGCTAACAGGGCATGAGGGAAGAGGGATGTGTAAATAACCAAAACTGTTTGAAGGTGGTGCGATGAGTCCAGATATGAAAGATATTTTGAGTATAAATTTATAAAATTTTTCACCTTGTATGCAACTCTGCCTTTGCTTTAAGGGACAAGTTTCTAGAGATTTAGAAGTGTTAACTCCATTCAGAAGCTACAATTGCATAATGAACTTTAAAAACAGTTTTTAAATCTGTACTTTAAGGTTTATTTGAACTTCATAGGAAGGCAAAAAGAAGGAAAAAAAAATAAATGTCACCCTCCTAGGAAAAAAAATACATCACTATTTTCGTGTTTGATTCGTTCAAGTACAGTAAGTTCAGTGATTTCCAACTAAAACTCTCAAGTCTGAGTCAGTGTTTCTAGTTCCTTCTGGGAGTTTTTTCTGCCTAGAATGGTGTTTGTAAACCTTAGAAGGGGATAAGACTGAGACATAAGTGAGTATGAAACTAGCATTAGCCCTCTTACATTTATTTAGGACCACACAGTTGACAAAGCCCGGAATAAGGCAGAATAAACCATCCATTTTTTAATATACTCACTGAGTATCCCTCCTGCCAAATGTGTAGCATATGAATTCAGGGGATTCATTTCACCATTCCCATTCCTCGTAGGTGCCCCTGACCCCACAGCTGGGGCCAGCATTGATGATGAGAACTGTTGGCATTTGGATGAAGAACAAGTGAAAGAACAAGTGAAGCTCTTTCTCTCCCAGGGTGGTTACTATGGCTCTGGGAAGCAACTCAATTCAATGTTTGCCAAGGTAAGATATGAGAGGTATTTTTTTTTCTTTAAGTAAACTGGGCTCACAACACTTCTGGCTTCATGCGTTGTAGCTAGCTCACTTGACCTATCCATACTAAATACTTGAAAACTAATGGGAGGGCTGATCAGAGCAGACCTGATCCAGAGCAGGTGGCAACCAGGGACCCCTACTACCTCACCCTGGTAGTCCTCTTCGTTCTGCTCCACTCTAAATAAATTAGCTTTGCTGGGGGTTTTAGTAAGGAAGGCCCCATCCCTCTGCTTTGAACCCAAGGCTGCCAAAAGAGGCCTTGAAGAGATGTAGTATTTTAGAACTCTGGGCTCTCACAGCAGATTTTCTTTCTTTTTTTCTTAACACCTTTAGTGACAGATGATTCACCCATTTAAAGTTTGCAATTCAGTGGTTTTTAATTTTTCACAGATATGTGTATCCGTTACCATAGTCAACTTTAGAACATTTTCATCACCCTAAAAAGAAGCCCCATACCCTTTACCTGTCACTTCCCCTATCCCTCACTCCCCCTCCCCCAGCCCTAAGCAACCACTAAGCTACTTTCTGTCTCTATAGATTTCCCTATTCTGGGCTTTCCTAAGAGTGGAATGATATAGTAGATAGTCTTTTGTGACTGGCTTCTTTCACTTAACATAATATTTTCAAGGATCATCCATGTTGTGACATGTATCCATACTTAATTACTTTTTATGATTGAATAATATTCCATTGTATGGATATACCACTTTTGTTTATCCATTCTCTGTTAGTGGATATTTGGATTATTTCCACCTTTTGGCTATTAGAAATAATGCTTTTATAAACATTCTCATACAAGTTTCTGTGTGGACATGTGTTTTCATTTCTCTCTAGGATTGGAATTGATAGGTCATATAATTCTACATTTAATCATCTGAGGAGCTGCTATACTGATTTCTAAAGCAGTTGCATCATTTAACATTCCCACCAACAGTGTCAGGGGTCTGATTACTCTATATCCTCACCAGCACTTGTTGTTATCTGACTTTTTGATTCTAGCTATCCTAGTGGATGTGAAGTGGTATCTCACTGTGTACAGCAGGCTTTCTTGATATATGCAGAGAACTTGCTTGTAGAACAAGAAGCCCTCTTTTTGGCTCTTTGGGTGTGTTACGCTTAGATACTTCATCTTCTCCTCCCCTTCCTTCTCCTCCTGCTTTTTTATGATGTGCAGTCACCAACCCCCGGCCCCTCCTTATGTGTCAGGTTCGAGAGATGCTGCGGATGAGGGATTCCAATGGAGCCAGGATGCTGACGCTGATAACTGAGCAGTTTATGGCTGACCCACGACTCACACTCTGGAGGCAGCAGGGAACAAGCATGACAGATAAGTGCAGGCAACTCTGGGATGAGTTAGGTAAGTCCCCATAATCTCAGAGAAGTGCTATGTCTGTCCTACCAGTTTGCCCCCTGCAACAGTGTTAGTGAACACTTGCCATCAGTCATTACATGGGTCTTGCTAAATGAACTTTAGCCTAGCTGTAGAAAATATGGGCTCTACACAGGCCACCCAGAGTATTCTGAACTCACTTGTGTTGCTTCCACAGCATTGTGCTTTGCTATTGACATCAGTATTCTGTTCCAGATGTTACCACATAGAAGGCTTTGCTGAGGGAAAATGTCTTCCCTTGGCTTCTGTTGCCTGGCACTAGCCTGGCTCTCCAGACACTTATCAACCTTACTTTTCTTGCTTTCCCTGGGTTTGCTCTTTTATATTACTACTAGACACACCTCTTAGACATAGGGCAGTTTCCAAGACTTGAGCCTTGGACTTCTGTTCTTCCTCTGTACACCCCTGAGAACTTTTTTTTTTTTTTAAGGTCATGGCTTGAGAGCTTACCTCTCTGTTGATCTCAGCCTCATCTTCTTTCCACTTATCAGCACTGCCCTATGACCATTTCCACTGAAAAATCCCCTGATCACCTCAAGCTTGAGAAATCCAAAAATGAATTCGGGCCTTCAACCAAAAAAGTTTCCCCTAACTCTGGCAGTGGCACCACCATTCCTCACTCTACGAAACTGACTGTCAAGCACTCATTTTTCTTTCATTCCCAACATTCAGTCACCAACTTCATTTGATGCCTTGACCTTCAAAATGCAATTCAGTGTCCATTCACACTTTTTAATTTCCCATCACCACTGGTTTGGTTGAGGGCATTGAGAACTTTTAGATTAAATTAGACCTGTGGCCTCCTGAATGGCCTCTCTGTTCTAGATTCTCCTCATCAAGGCCATCTTCTTTGGTCATCATTTCTCTGTATCATTCCACTACTCCAAGGCCAGTTTTGCAGTGCTAATACTCAACTCCTCTCCCTGTTTTCAGAATCTTCCATACCCTGAATCCAATCATGGCCCCACTTTTAGTTATACTGGAAAAGTTCTGTGTAACATACTCTAAAAGTTCTAATATATAGCTCCTCCGTAGTTCCTCCATGCCAGAAAGCAACAACAAACTTCCCACTCATACAAAGTAATACAAGAGAAAGCTGCAGGTTAGGAGTTCAGTGAGTTCTTCTGGGCTGAAGCTCCTGGAGCATATATTTCATAGCCTCAGAGCTAAAAGCCTTGCATAGTGAGGCTTCATAACTCTGCAACTATGCTCATTTACTTTGGGGTTTTGTTTTGGGTGCCGAGGTTTTTTGATCTCACCTGTGGCACTAATGGCTTTGGAGCTCTCATTAGTAATGAATAGCTACATTTTTGAGTGTTATGTGCCAGTCTCTGTGTTACAGATTATACTGACATTTTTTCACTTAATTCTCATAACAACCCTATAAGGTAATTGTGTGTTTACTGCAAAGAAACAGAGATAGCTCTGGTTACTTCTGGATACAGGATAAAATTATAGAAAACTGTCTCTGCCATGACATGGTCACAGTTTCTGAAGTATAGGAATGTTGCACTATTGGTCTAAAGCTACTGGTCCAAACTGTTGTGACCAGGGTCACACGATACAACACATGGCAACTTGGGGACTACTACTAGACTCTTTACTCAGAAGGGATTGCAGTCACGGACTCCCTTCCAAGGTAAGATTTTGGCACCTTCATATTTTTAGATGAGAAAACTGAGCTCAGAAGAGTTAAGTATTTTATTCAAGATCACACATGGTGGTTCTTCCCATGAAACAGCAGTATGTTTGACCCCAAATCAAGCATCCCTCTGCAACATCTCCCTCAATTCTATCTTGTTATGTACTTATTTTTCTCTAAAGTGCATGTTTTTAAATTTAAAATCAGCCTTCCTCAGTGAATCAGTTTCATCTGAGGCCTGAATCTCATGAAGTAATTTCTCTCATACTCATGGGATTATGCCATGGACTTGGGCTTGGCCTTTGAGGCAAAGGTAGGTGAGAAGAAGTTAACACAGCTGGCTCCCAGTGCTTTTAATGCATTTGTCATATACTTAGGTTCATTATGAAAAGCTCTTGCTTCTGACATTTTCGTATCTAAGAAATTGCTATTTCAGTCTTCTAAAAAATCCTCAGGATTCTGCAAAGACGGTGGTTCTCAAACTTCTCAAAATTACCGAGAGTACTTATTTAACAGGTTGCTGGGCCCTGTCCCCAGAGTTTCTAATTCAGTAGGTTGGAGTAGGGCCTGATAATTTGTATTTCTAACAAATTTCTAAGGAATGCTGTTCCAGAGACCACAATTTGAGAACCAGTGCACTAAGAGAAGCCTTATTGGGTCAGACACTAGACTATGGTGCATGCATGCTTCCCCTTACTACTATGAGGGTTCCTTATTGTTCACAAGGCCTGCTCACTTGGGAGGGCCTAGGCAGGGTTTCTAGGAATTTAGAAGAGTGGACTCACTACATGCAGATCCTGAACCAGAGAAGATAGATGCAGTCAGACATGAAGTTTTCCCATCTCCCCATATCTGTACACATATGCTTTGCTTTATATTCTGTTAAAATCTATGAAGTATCTCTGCTCCTATAAAAGGGCAATTCTTACATATTTGCTCTGGGTCCTGTGCCATCGCCTTTTCTCAAGAATTTTGCTTCTGCAATTATCTCCTTTCTCTGGCATTATTAGTTTCTCCCTCTCTACTGGACCAATTCGATCAGCATACAAAAATGCTCTAATACCTTCAATCTAAAAAAAAAAGTGTCTTTGATGTTCCCATCCTCCTCCAATTATTACCACATTTCTGTTCTTTCCTTCAAAGCAATATTTCTTTTTTTTTAGTTTTTTATTTAAATTCCAGTTGGTTAACATACAGTGTAATATTAGTTTCAGATGTATAATATAGTGATTCAGCACTTCCATATAGCACTTGGCACTTATCACAAGTGCACTCCTTAATCCCCATCACCTATTTAACCCACCCCGCTACCCACCTCCATTCTGGTAACCATCAGTTTGTTCTCTGTAGTTAAAAGTCTGTTACTTGGTTTGCCTCTCTCTTTTTCTCCCCTTGCTTGTTTTGTTTCTTAAATTCCACATCTGAGTAAACTTACATGGTATTTGTCTTTCTTGACTTATTTCACTAAGCATTACACTCTCTAGCTCCATCCATGTCATTGTGAATGGCAAGATTTTATTCTTTTTTTGTGGCTGAATAATATTCCATTGTATATACATACCACATATTCTTTATCCATTTATCAGTCAGTGGACATTTGGGCTCTCTCCATAGATTGGCTATTGTTGATAATGCTGCTGTAAACATCGGGGTGCATGTATCCCATTGAATTAGTATTCTTGTATTCTTTGGGTAAATACCTAGTAGCGCAATTGCTGGATCATAGGGTAGTTCTATTTTTAACTTTTTGAGGAACCTCCGTACTGTTTTCCACAGTGGCTACAACAGTTTGCATTCCTACCAACAGTGTAAGAGGGTTTTCCTTTCTCTGCATCCTTACCAACGTCTCTTGTTTCTTGCGTTTTTGATTTAAGCTATTCTGACAGGTGTTAGGTGATATCTCATTATAGTTTTGATTTGCATTTCCCTGATGATGAGTGATGTGGGACATCTTATCATGTGTCTGTTGGCCTTCTGTATGTCTGCTTTGGAAGATGTCTGTTCACGTCTTCTGCCCATTTTTTCACTGGATTATTCAGTTTTTGGGTGTTGAGTTTTATAACTTTGTTCTTTATATATTTTGGATACTAATCCTTTATCAGATACGTCATTTGCAAATACCTTCTCCCATTCTATAGGTTGCCTTTTTTGTTGATTGTTTCCTTCGCTGTACAGAAGTCAAAGCAATATTTCTTGAAAAACTTGTCTGTAGTCATCCTTTTCCCTTTGCTCACCTCCATTCTATCTTGAGCCCACTATAAATGAGCTTCCATTGCTCATTTCTGCCACTTTATTGTAGTTGTTGTCAAAATCACCAGTGACTTCAGTATTGTTAAATACAGTGGTTACTTCTCTGTTGTTATCTTATTTGATCTCTTAGTAATTTTCAATAAAATTGACTATGCCCTTCTTGAAACTTATTCTCTTGGCTTCTATAACCCCATCTTCCTGTTTTTCTTCCTATATTCCTGGCTGCTTTCTCTCAGTCTATTTTGCAGGACTCTTCTGCCTTTCTTCAATCCTTTTGAATATTGAGTACTCCATAGTACCCACTGCCCTGTCTACATTCTCTACCTAAGTGATCATATTCAGGCACATGGGTGGGGTTTTTTTTTTTTTTGAGATTTATTTATTTATTTGAGAGACAGTGAGAGTGGGGGGGGAGGGGCAGAGGGAGAGAATCTTCAAGCAGACTCCCCACTGAGCATAGGCCAGTGAAGGGCTCGATCCCACAACCCATGAGATCATGACCTGAGCCAAAACCAAGAGTCAGACACCCAAATGACTGAGCCACCCAGGTGCCCCTAAGTGCCATGGTTTTAAATACATTCTAGATATAGGTAATTCACAAATTTGTATCTCTAGCCCTGACCTTTCTCCTCAGTGTCCACCTACCCACCACTTCTAAGAAACATCTCAAATTTAATAAGACCATCATTGAACTCTTAATTTTCCTGCCAGAGTCTGATTTTCCCCTTGTTGTCCCCATCTCTGTATCAGCACCAAGATGTATCTAGTGGCTCAAAAAGAAAATCTAAGAGTCCTACTTGGTTCCCTGTTTTCTACCTTCTGTAGCCAGCCCAAGACCATTGACCCCCCGAGCTGGAAGACTGAATGAGTTAATGTATATAAAATATTAAACATAATGCCTGGCCCATAAAAAGAAATAAATTATAGCTATTATTTTACTATTATATTTACTATATAATAATTATGTGATTTTTTAATTTCCATAGTAGCTAACCTTTGGTTAGAGTTTTTGACACTTTTTTTAAGTTGCTGGAAAATATGCTTTTGGATACTGGTAACACAGTCCCATGAATGC